GCGCGGTCATCGGGACAGAATAGCAGCCGGGAATGCGGCGGGGGGGCGTCCTGAACCTCCGGGAGTGTGAGAACCTGGGACGCTTGCTAACGGTCCGGTCCCAGTTCCACCCTCGCAGTCTCATTTAGCTTAGGAGGGCGGGGTGGGGCTGGGGGACTTGCTTTTCTGAAAGGAACCCCATTGGAGAAAAGCTCTTGGGAGCCTCATGGGGGGCGCTCTGTGGCCCCGAAGCCAGGGCTACGCAGCGGACTCTGGGGAGAGGTTGTGGCTGAAGCATGTTTAACTCGGGGCCTCTCTCCAGGGAACCGAAATCCTAAAAGGAGCCCCCAGGACAGGCCCACCCGCTGCCCTAGGGGGTGACATTCATTTCCGGAAATAGGTGCTTTGCAGCCAAGGGAGGTGAATGGAGTGGGCGACTAAGCTGAGTATTTGACTCCTGTGAAGTCAGGATGAACTGTGACCCTGAGTCCCGACGTGTGTGTGTGTGTGTGTGTGTGTGTGTGTGTGTGTGTGTGGGAGCCACAGGCGTCCTTAGCCAGGACGGGCCCTCTGTCTGCCCACGGCCGTCCCCCCAGCTCTGAAGTGGCTCCTCTGTTGGGGTCATTGGAGGCTCGAATTGCAGCCCAGAAACCAGCTGCTGGTGTGGCCGAGGGCCCACGAGGAGACTGCGGTGAGCGAGGAGGATGTGCTTTTATGGAGCTGGGCGTTTAAAGAAACTTCTGGGGTTTGTCTCTTAGCAACAGGCCCATCCAAAGCGCACGGCACTGTCAGAGCATCCAGCGATGCCCTCAGCACCATGTAAAACGCAGTGAAGATTGTGGAGGGAGGGACCTTCTGAACTAGCGCCTCCTGCAGGTGGAAACCTCAGACGCCGAGCAGAGGCAGCAGCTGCTGACCTACCGAGCACGTCAAGCTCTGGGCGAGGCCGCACGCCGCGTTTATTTGGCCCGTGTTAGCCTTTGAGCTCGACATGCTTGGTCTCGACCAAGAGGGACCATCACTAAACCGCCTGCTGCCTTCCCCGCCCCCGAAGCCCAGCGCCCCATCACGCCCCGCCTGTGGCTGTGGAGGAATTGTGTCCCCCCAAATCTGCACGCTGGAGCCCTCGCCCTGCAGGTGTCTGTATTTGGAGATGAGCCCTGTAGGGGATCAGTAAGGTTTAAACGAGGCCGTAAGGGTGGGGCCCGGGATGGCGTGAGCGCCCTTACAAGAAGAGACACCATGTGAGAACCGTGAGCTGGTGACCACCAGCAAGCACGGATCTCAGACTGCGCAGCCTCCACGACTATGAGGAACCGGCTGTGGTTAAGCCGCCCCTCGAGGTGCTGTGCGTGGCAGCCGGGCTGCCTGAGCCGGGCAGCAGGCGCTCCTAACATCGGGCTGAAGGAGAGCCTGAGGCACAAAGCGCCCAACTGCCCCGCCCCAGGTTAGATGGGGGCAGAGCCAGGTGCCCGTCCCTGGCCCCAGCCGCAGTCCGCTCCACCCGTCCCACCACCGCCCGGGCAAGCAGCGCCTTCCTCGGGGGTCTGAGGACTCGAGGAGACGTGGCGGACTGAGCCCTGGGACAGGCCTGGCGGGGAGCAAGCCCTCAGGGAAGGTTGCTGCTCTGCCCAGGCTCACATGGGGGGGGGGGGAGACTCAGGGAAGGGGCAGAGCCAGGAGCCGCCCCCCCTGGGAGCTGAGGGTCCCTGAGAAGTAGATTGGCTCTGGCTCCCCGACAGGCCGCTCTCTGGGC